GTTGGAACTGGGTGATCTTTGAGGTCCCTTCCAACCCAAACCATTCTGTGATTCTGTGATTCTATAACTGATGGGGGAAGGAAAGGCAGAGATGCACACCTTACTCTTTTCTTGCTGGAGCTCTATCTGGATGTCGGTGAGCTTGGCCCTGAGCTCTTCGTTGGCAGCCTGCAGGGCGGCCAAGGCGTCCGGCTTCTCCCCCCTCGCGCGGCTGCTGGTGCCCTTCTTGGACATGGTGAGGCCGGGCGGCGCGAGGGCAGTCCTGCCCGGAGGCCCTCGTCCCAGCGCTCGCTCAGGGCTTCTCGTCCTCGCCTCCGGCCCACTACATTTTCTTACTTGCCTGGAAGGAGGGAAATCACACACCCACAGTCAGAGCGCGGGAGCGGGTAGGGATGTGATACCCACCAAGCACATGAGACATCCCTGGAAAGCATGTGGCACACGTCAGCCAGCTAAAGTGGCTCTTCCCTGGATTAAGTAAGGGCTGGACAGAGCTCAGGGGTAATAATATTTTGTATTACACCCACACAGAGCAAAACATTTCCATGACAAACTATTGATGTTTTCTGTCACTCCATTTCCACTGGAATTGGTACAGCGCCGAGGATGTGGATGTTCAGGAGGGATGTCCAAGCACCCTCGCCTGGCACCGTCACGCTTGGAGACAGCGACAATATTTTCAGTATAGGCAGAATACTTTGATGCTCTTCAGAAAAAAGCAGTAAGAAAAAAATATGTTTGGTTTCCTACAAATACTTTCCAGATATTCATGATGAAAACAATAAAATTAATAAAAATAGTAAGAAGCTACAGAAACGAGCAGAGATTACCCAAAGGCAACAGCAGCTTTCCATACAGGAGTGTGCAGTGCATCATTAAACCAGCAATTAAGATCTATATAGGTTCATCTAAGTCTGGTAACAGTGTAGGAGTTTTATTCACACTAAGAGGTTTTGAGTTAAATATAAGCAAAAAGCCCTGAGACAAGCCAATTCATTCTATTAAACGGTGGAACACCAGGCAAAAGCAGACCCAAATTCCCAGAATTCATCTATTGATACAGTTTGCACTCTAGGCCAACCCATTAATCCCAACACATTTATAAATTATACAACATATACAATTTATAATGATAACTTTGGATTTGTCAATAAAACAGATACTATAACATTAATTACAGTACTAAAAGCTACATGCATTTGATGATTTTTATTTTAAAATTCGCCAAGAATAAATAGCAGTGTTCATGAATGGGTAAGCAGAATTAAAGCCTGTAGAGACTGTGTCAAAGTTAAAATGTCGTATTATCAATGAAAATCAAAGGTCCTTTATAACCAATACTACTAAGGAAAGAGCATAAGAGTTATTGAAAACTCGTATCTTGCAAAAACCATATTCTAGCTTAGTATAACCATCAGGCATGGCTAGTCCAAGAGCAAGACAAACTTACTCCAAAGAATTTGCAATCTGAGACAAAGACAGACAAAAGCAGGGAGAAACATGATAATTTTTATCTGTTAATGCTATTTTTATGCTGCATCCACCCTATAGCTCAGAGCACTCAACCGCAGTTCTATGTAAAAATAATTGCCCTGTTCACCAAATCGAGTGAAATCCCTGTGAGCTGCGAGTTGTCTGCCCAGGGGTGAATTTGGCTGAAGGTATCCCAGTTTGTCCTTATCACAATCCTTTGGTCTGATTCTTGTCTCAGAGCTGTTGATGCAGACAGTGCACTGATGCTCCGCACTTGGTCCCTCTGCGCTGAACAAGCCCGTAGGAGGGCGTTCAGGTCAGCCCTTCCTCTGGTCCTATTTAACTCGGTGCTCATCAACAGCACGAGCAGATTTCATTTAATGGAAACCTGAGGACAGCAAGAAATTCTGGGCAAAACGCCGGAAGCTTTGTTTTGCACTGGAGCAGTGGAAAGTAGGTACTGTCTGCTCCAGCCCAAAATACGGATGTTTCCTCAACGTTTCCTTCACACTTTACATTCTTGCTGAAGGATCTTCTCTTATAGCGACATTACTTTGTCAAAGCACTTTGGAAAGAGAATCCCCACGCTGCTGCACAAGCTCCTTGGCAATGATCCTGTGCAATTTTTCAATCTGTGGATATAGACTACGGCTGTGAAAACCCAGTTCATCCCTATTTAAACAATAAGCAGCAACACACGCAAAGAAACGGTTGCCTTTGCTTCTCCAGGCAAAGCCGACTCTGCTAGCAAATTTTTTTTTTCAAATTGTCAATAAAAAAAATAACGGGAGCGAGATCCTGAATGAAATGCCTAGAGGAGCAGCTAACAAGCTCAGACAAAAGATACACGCTCACAGTAACTGTAAATGGGGGAACACCAACGAGAAGGATGGAAAGAACATTCAGAGGAGTGGTGATGCTAAAGACTGTGGGAACAGGAGGGATGCAATCCGGCGGCACAAAGGCTGTCCTTCCACACGGTTCTCAGACCAGACTTGGGCCAGCTTCTGACCCAGGGGCGAGGACAACACAGTTTTGCTGCTCCAAAGCAAGCAGCAGAAAGGATCAGGAATTTTACAACACGTATGTTTACAGAAGAATGGAAAATCTAGGGAAAAAATGTTTCACTGGAAAACTTTGACTTGCTTGGATGAAACTATATTCCAAAGAGACTACACGTACTTCTCAGTGCAAAATCTTACTTGGAATAATTTTTAACTGTCACTGCAATTCCTGTTAGAAGCAAACCCTCGTTTTAAAGATCTGTTTAATTTATACCATTAAAAAATAGGCAAAAAGCTTAAGCTTGGAAAAATATTTCCAACCTTATTAATACTAACCTTATTAATGTGGGTAACAATCTTTTTGGATGATGACCTTCAATGCACTGGTTTATTCATCCTGACTCATAGGCAAAACCACAACGGAGCAGCACTATTCCCTGTCCAAGCACGAGTAAAGAGCCTTAACAGTACAGGGCAGCTGTAACAGTAAAATAACAATAAATAGCAATAATAAAATAACATCATAATAATAACAACAATAAAAATGACAATAATAATAGAACAGCCGGATTTGAATTCTAAAAGCAAAAACCTGCATCCGTTAGGGAGAAAAGAGCAAGGGATACAGCTGTCTTGGGGGATATATAAATGGGATATGAAGCTGGGAGAGGGCTGAGAACACTCGGGAGACGTGGCTGGAGTTTGGGAGTAGGCGGGCGAAGCTGCTGAGAGCCGGGGAAATCATTCATAGATTCATAGATTTCTAGGTTGGGAAAGACCTCAGAGATCATCGAGTCCAACCGTCCCTAATCCCCATTAAACCATATCCCTAAGTAGATCATCCACCCTATTCTTAAACACATCCAGGGATGGGGACTCAGCCACCTCCCTGGGCAGCCTAAATCAGGCAGGACAAGCAGTCACTACAAATCTACACCAGGTCAGAGTAAGAGCTGGGGGGCCAAGACTTAGAGAAAAAAATGGGGAAAAAAAATAAAATTCCTGATATTAGTTATCAAGCCAAGGTAGCACAAACAGTCTTAATTCTGTTGTTTCTCAGTCTGATGTTGACTTTGTAGCCATGAAACTTCTACAAAAATATAATGTGTTTGGTTGGTCAAAGAAATAGAAATTAGTAAAATTTTACAGAAATTACCTGAAAAACCTAAAACCAGGAATAGACATTCTTATCATTGCAGATTCTTGCTTCTTTGTGTAAGAAGATGAAAAGCATCAGTGATTGTTCCACAATAGAGGTCTTCAAACCTCCCTCTTTCCTTATAGATAAAAAAATGGGGCAGTCTATAGCCACCAGCACCGAATTCTACCGACCATGACGAACGAAGCATTTGTGCACATTAAAATTACTTTCTTAAACGATACGTTATAATGATAGATGCAGTAGGTGGAGTCATGTTATTTCACAACCTCAGGAAATGAGAAGCAGCACAACACAAGCTTTCAACTGCTTTCATGTGAATGCCAGACGACAATAATTTGAACACTATAGAGATTGGTGAAAACAATTTAAATCAGAAGGATTATTTTTGACAGACGACAGCTACGAGAGTTTTTGTTTGCTTACAGAAAACAAAACTCAGGAACTGATACAAGTAAACTGAAAGGCAGAAACGTCACTAGAGGCGTGCTAGGAGGAGCACCAGCCCAGCAGCTGATTTTTTGGGAAGCGGCACGCGGTAACGGTGCAGAGCAGCCAGCCACCCTGTGCACACCCTCCCCAGACGTCCCTGTGAATCCATGGACCAGAATCCAACCATCTCGCTGCCACGTGCTGGCACTGTCTCCACAGCTGCCCAGGAGCCCTGTGCGGAGGAGCCCACCGTGCGGGCACCTCCCCTGCAGAGATGGGCACCTGGCGGCTTCCCAGCACGGTTCTCTTGGTGGGAATTCTGTCTGAGGTCCATTCGGGGCACTATATATTCTCACACTTTCGGTGTTTAAGATTTTAAATTTTGTTTAAAACGTTACCTAGGCTTAAGTGTATGTTTTGACATATTTCACGCCAAGCAACTGCCTAAATCTGATTTTTCTCTACTAAAAAATAAAACTTAAGATTGATAAGCTTATTTCAAGAAAGAAAGGCTTGCTCTGAGCAGGCCTACAAAACCTTTAAAGACGATCTGAAAGATTACAGGCAAAGTGTTCCCTGTTGTCCCATAAAAGCAGCCCAAGTGCAGGAAGGTGACCACCTGCCAGAGCCTGCGCTTGCCCACCCTTCGCTGCCAAAGTCCCCGCCTGTACCTGGCACCACCCCCGGACACCAACGCCAGGAGACTGTCTCCTGGGCAAGCTCAGCCGTGGCTCGTGTCCTCATGGCAAGTTTGGGGCGGCACAGGAGAGGGCACAGCACTGCCTGTCAGATCCTGCAGGCTCCCGTCGGCGCGGTGTGGGTGATGGGGTCGACATTGGAAACGTCTTCCAGGCTGGAATGCTGAAGCCGGAATGAGATCTTCCCAGAGCAAAATCAGCTGCCTTGCCAGTGCTTAAAGGAATGAGACTGCTTCAAAAGGAACGGCACGGAAACCAGCTGAGAACTCTTCCAATTAAACTTTAAGGATGAAAAGGGACATAATGATAAAACTTGAACGTAGCCAAGAATAACATCCAAGGATTAAGAGATCCAGACAATGGGAATTTGATCAGCCTTGGTAACGGTCTGTCTGCACAAATGTACCAACAGCAACGAGATCTGCGGAACAATGGAAAACTGCTCGGCACGCCGCGTTTCCAAAAACC